TTCTCTGTGTAACAGCTCTGGCTGTCATGGAACTCACTCTGTAGACCAGGCTGGCCTGGAACTGACAGCGATCACCTGCCCCTGCCTCCTGAGTGCTGGGATTAAAGGTATGTGCCACCATCGCCCGGCCCATTTTCTTATTAATCACAGATTATGATATCTTATAGAAAACATTTTAGAAACGGCCACTGACCACTAGCTCTTTAAAGCCCCAGGTAGCGGAGGAGGGTTGTGTTATGCAGTTCTGGAGAACAGAACTGTGCAGTCAGTGGCCTTGGCTATAGTGTTTGTAATGTATACAGTCGATTGTAGCCATGGCAATGGGGAACTGTAGCTTGTGAGAAGCCAGCAATCTACTGCTTTCTAGTATATATTATGGAAAGAGTCCCTAAAGTTTCTTATCTCCAGAATAGCTGCATTATATCTGACCAAGAATCACATGTCTTTGAGAAGAAAAGTAGTTCCACAGAAAGACCATCTTTACATACTTGGGGTTGCCTGGGAATCATCTCGTCAGAAGCCTGGGATAGACTGTGATGGCTGTACATTAACCATGCAATGTCTTCTACTTTAGTTTTTATTTCATTGTACATTTCTATTTATGTGTGTGTGTGTGTGTGTGTGTGTGTGTGTGTGTGTGTGTGTATACACACGCACGTGCATGCACATACATGCACACCTCAGTGTGCATGTGGAGGTCTGAGGACAACTAGTGAGAGTTGGTTCTCTCCTTCCACCTTGTGGATCCCGTGGATAATTCAGGTCCCCAGGCTGGATGGCAGGTGCTTTTACCCGCTAAACTATCCTGCTGACCCCCTCTTCTCCTTTGGAAGATAAAGCTTCCAAAGGAAGCTTGTATGGATTAAGCCCCAAGTGCACAAAATGGAATCTGTAACTGTGAGAGGTCTAGTGGTCAGGTTTCTTTTGCATTGCTGTGGCAAAACACCCTGACCAAAATCAACTCAGGGGAGGAAAGGGTTTGCTGGGCTTTCAATACCAGATGCTAGTCCATCCCTGAGGGAAGTCAAGGCAGGAACTCAAACCTGGGCCTGCTTGCTAGTCCACACGATATTTCCTGCGGCCAAGGAACTCACTTCACTGTCAAGAACGACAGCAGAAGCCATGGAGGACACTGCTCATTGGCTGGTTCAGAGCCTGGCCTATAGTCAGTTAGCTTTTGTATATAGTTCAGCCCGTCTGCATAGGGATAGCACTGTCCACAGTGGGATGCGCCTCCTACATCAATTAACCAGCAGGGCAGTCCCCCATAGGCATGCCCACAGGCCAACTCTTTTATTGTGGCTCTCCACTCAGAAGATTCTAGGCTATATCAAGTTGACAGTTAAAGCTAACCAGGAGAGTTAGGCACGTGTCAACACACAGAATGGATATTTGGAGGATTATTAGAAGAGAGATCTCTATTCAAAAGAAAAAAGTGGGTGCCGCTTTTCTTTCCCATTTCCTTTGTGTTATTTATGAGTGAGTTTCTTTGCATTCTTTGCACCAAAAATGTGTGTTTAACCCTTACTTGTGTTTTCTTATTCTAGAAGCCTCCCCAGCTTTCTGAGGATGCCAACCAGCTGAGAAGCAAGCGAGACAGCTGTGGTGACATCCGCCTGGAGCCTGCTGCCACCTCTCTCTCCTCAGATCACAAAAACATGGAAATTGAGGTGGCTGTGACAGAATGTAAAAGTGTACCTGGAATCACCTCTACCCCCCATTCCAAGGACCACTCCTCCCCTTTTTATTCGCCTTCACACAATGGCCTCCTCACTGATCACCATCAGTCCTTAGATAATGATGTCGCCCGAGAGATCCAATATCTAGACGAGGTGCTGGAGGCCAACTGCTGTGATTCCTCTGTGGATGGAACTTACAACGGAATCTCCTCCCCAGAGCCTGGTGCGGCCATACTGGTGAGCAGCCTGGGCTCACCTGCCTATACACCTGCCCACTCAGCTACCGAGGCAGAACCCACGGAGGAAGCATCTGGCAGGCAGGTGCCTCCTCACATCGAGCTCAGTAGAAGCCCTTCTGACACCATGGCTGAAGGAGAAAGAGCCAATGGACACGCCACTGACCAGCCCCAGGGCATGCTGGGGGATGGCCTGCAGGCACCTGCCAGCCCCAGCTCCTCCACCAGCTCCCACTGCTCCTCCCGTGATGGGGAGTTCACGCTCACCACGCTGAAGAAGGAGGCCAAGTTTGAGCTGCGTGCCTTCCACGAGGACAAGAAACCCTCCAAACTCTTTGAGGAGGACGAGCGCGAGAAGGAGCAGTTCTGCGTGCGGAAAGTGAGGCCCTCCGAAGAGATGCTGGAGCTGGAGAAGGAGCGGAGGGAGCTCATTCGGAGCCAGGCTGTGAAGAAGAATCCCGGCATCGCCGCCAAGTGGTGGAATCCCCCCCAGGAGAAAACTCTTGAGGAACAGCTGGATGAGGAACATCTGGAGTCCCACAGAAAGTACAAGGAGCGTAAAGAGAGAAGGGCACAGCAGGAACAGCTGCAGTTGCAGCAGCAGCAACAGCTGCAGCAGCAGCAACAGCTGCAGCAGCTGCCCCTACCCCAGCTCTACACAGCCCCAGCTTCTCACGAACATCTAGATGGCATGGAACACACCAAGGAGGATGTCGTCACTGAGCAGATTGACTTCTCTGCTGCACGCAAGCAGTTCCAGCTGATGGAGAATTCCAGGCAGACGTTGGCCAAGGGCCAAAGCACACCAAGGCTGTTCTCCATCAAGCCTTTCTACAAACCCCTTGGGTCCATCAACTCAGACAAGCCACCAACTATCCTGCGGCCACCTACCGTTGTCGGGGGACCTTCGGAAGACAGCAGCACACAGGCAGCCAAGGGGCAGAAGGTGTCCTGTGTATCTGAGAGCCAGTCTGCAGGAGCAGGCCCGGGGAGCACTGCCACTCAGGGAAAGGAAGGGCCATACAGTGAGCCTTCCAAACGTGGGCCCTTGTCTAAACTATGGGCAGAGGATGGAGAGTTCACGAGTGCCCGGGCCGTTCTTACTGTAGTCAAGGATGAAGATCACGGGATTTTGGACCAGTTTTCCAGATCCGTCAATGTATCTTTGACCCAAGAGGAGCTAGACTCAGGTTTGGATGAGTTGTCCGTGAGGTCTCAGGACACCACTGTCCTGGAGACTCTGTCCAATGACTTCAGCATGGACAACATCAGCGACAGCGGAGCTTCCAACGAGACACCCAATGCCCTCCAAGAAAACTCGCTGGCTGATTTCTCTCTGCCTCAGACTCCCCAAACAGACAACCCCGCAGAGGGTCGAGAAGGGGTCTCCAAGTCATTCAGCGACCATGGTTTCTATTCTCCCTCCTCCACCCTGGGAGACTCCCCATCAGTTGATGACCCCTTGGAATATCAGGCTGGGCTCCTGGTGCAGAATGCCATTCAACAAGCCATAGCTGAGCAGGTGGATAAGGCTGAGCCACACTCCAGTAAGGAGGGCTCGGAACAGCAGGGACCCGCAGCAACCGCCAAGGAAGCCGGAAGCCAGGCTTCCGCCTCCGAGAAACCCCAGAGCATGTTTGCACCACCTCAGGTGTCCTCTCCCGTTCAAGAGAAAAGGGATGTATTACCAAAGATCCTCCCCGTGGAGGACAGGGCACTCAGGGAAAAGGGGCCCTCCCAGCCGCCCACAGCTGTGCAGCCCAGTGGGCCAGTCAACATGGAGGAGAGCAGGCCGGAAGGAGGCTATTTCAGCAAGTACTCCGAGGCAGCCGAGCTGAGAAGCACAGCCTCCCTCCTGGCTACCCAAGAGTCTGATGTCATGGTCGGGCCCTTCAAACTGAGGTCGAGGAAGCAGCGGACTTTGTCCATGATCGAGGAAGAGATCCGAGCCGCCCAGGAAAGGGAAGAGGAGCTGAAGCGGCAGAGGCAAGTGGCGCAGAGCATCCCGAGCCCCAGGGCCAAGAATGCCCCATCTCTGCCTTCTAGAACCGCCTGCTACAAGACTGCTCCAGGTGAGTGACAACCACATCCTGTGCCCAGGTGTCACACAGAGCACCTGCTGCTTACACGGTTCTGTGGGGAGCCTCCACTGGGCCTGTGGCCGGGGGATTTCAGCAACCGAGGTGTTAGGGAGTCCCCTGCAAGGATGCCAAGCTGAGGTGGTGGTTGCTGTTTCTCAGTGGATACCAGGGGCTCCTTGCCTCTCAGTCTGCCTTGTCTTGATTTATTGTATAGATTCTTTTATTTCCCCCCACCGGAGGGCCGCTTCTTGGCCAAGTGTGGTAGAATGGGCCCATGGGCCATCTGTGTCTTCAAGTCAGTAACGGGACCTTCAAAAGCTAATTTAGGGGATGTATTCCACCAACCCCTTTTGGGATGCTGGCTTTCTTCCCGGCAGTGATGGTCATGACTCGGGGTTGCAGACTGCAGATATTCTGTCCATCTTCTTGCGGTTGGGTTTGGCTTTCTTTATGTGATCACAGCCAGTTACAACCGTGCAATGATAGACCGCATATAAAGTAGTGATCCCATAAGATACCACCCAGTGTGACAGTATAACCGTCTTGGTTTCTAAGTTTTCTCTGTGATGCTCACACGGTGAGATGACCTAACAGTGTCTTCCTCGGACATTTTCTCAGAATGGTTCCCCAGACTCCCAAGCTTGGACTATACATGTGCATACTCTGAAATTAGGGTGTTTCCACCCATTCTTGTCTGTTTAGAAAGGTGAAGTTACCACAAGCAAAAGGGCCACATTCAATCTCCTTGTCTGGGCAGCCCCTTTCTTGAATTGTTGGTATAGATGGCTGGTATCAATTAGGGCAATGCTGTGGATGCCACTGTGTCTAACAATGTGACCAGAAGCTTTTGTTTCCCATGTGGATATGATAGCAGTTGGGGGTCTGCTCATCTTACCTTAGAGATGTGCTTCTCTGGGTGTGGTCAAAGCTAGTCCATGCATTGTTATGGTTCATGCTGAGATAAGTGCAGACCTTAGAAGAAAGCATCCTGAAACCCAAGTGTGGGATTGCGTATTGTACAGTGGACTTATGGGGAAACTGATCCTCCATCAAAGACAGTTTAAGAAGCATAACTTTAAAATATAATTACTGTTTAACTTGGATCATTGAGATCTTAATTCCCTCTTATTGACACTTGACCTCCACATCTACAGTGGCACAGGATCACTCTTTATCACTAACTTTTAAATTCTGAGGTAATCTCAAACCTAAAGGAGAGTTCTCAAGAAAAGTATTCTGGGCTGTTTGAGAGTCACTTGGCACCACAATGCCCTAATGCCCGAGTTTTGTAGCACACCCCTTGCATTGGGTTTCTTCGATGTTTCCATATGATTGCATTTCACCTTTAGTAGGGGAAGGACCACCAAACTGATGCTGCAGCCTCACAGTGTCTAAGCAAGTTGCACATGGTATTAACTCGTTCCAGGATGGGCAGATCTTAGCTTTGACCATTCAATATTACTTTTGATCACTTGATTAAGGAGTGTTTGTAAGGCTTCTCACAGAGAAACTAGGCTTTCCTTTTGTAATTAATACATATTTTGTTTAGACACATTTGACTGTGGATTTTTTATCCTACTTCTTATCAGACTTGAAGTCTAGGATTTATGTACATCAGTATGGTGTCATGGAATCCCATTACATTCAATAATTTGGTATCATTCATCTTGTTATTTTTATCCTCATTTTGTTTAGTTATGGCTGTGGGAATCCCCTCCAGGTCACTTTCTCGTCTTTTTGAGAAGCGGTTGTTCTTCGAGCATCACCTTTCTTTTAGTGATCGCACAATGCTCCACTTTGTCCTGTACTTGCCCAGCCTTGAAATCAGTCTTAGAGCCAAGAGAGTTTCTTCTCTTCCTGAGGACCAGGATGTATACTTCAAGATCGGCATGCGCATTAATGTTGGATTGTTAGTGCTCACGGGCAGCCTCAATGGACAGAATTGGAGATTAAACATCTATCTGTATGTCTATCTTATTTATTCATCTGTCATTTATCTATCTATCTATCTGTCTGTCTGTCTGTCTATCTATCATCTATCTACCTATCTACCTATCTATCTATCTATCTATCTATCTATCTATCTATCTATCTATCTATCTATCTATCTCTAGGAAACCATAGGTTAATGTAGAGATCTTTTTAAAAAAAAATTGGTGTGAGAGAGAGAGAGAGAGAGAGAGAGAGAGAGAGAGAGAGAGAGAGAGAGAGACTGAGTGTGCTTATGTCATGGTGTGCATTTGGAGATTAGTAGATACTTTCAGAAATCAATTCTCATCTTCCACCTTGTTGAGCAGGCCCTCCCTTGTTCCTGCACCTGGGCTGTGTACCCCAGGCTAGCCCGTCTTCAGTCTTCCCTGTGATCCTCCCATCTCTGCCTTCAGACTCTCACTGTAGGGATATGGGAATACAAGTGTGCAATACTGCATCTAGCTTTTCACTCAGGTTCTTGGGATCCAAACTCGGATTGTCAGGGGTGCATGATAAGTAAAGTTACTCACCCAGGGATCTTTTAATTCTGATTTAACAGAGTTATTCACATTTGTCATAAGGATTTCTTCCCTGGGGAGACAAACAATTTCCACTCCCTCTTTATAAGCTCCCAAGGTCACCCATGAGTTTGTTGAGCTCATTTACAGAGCATGGGTGCGGGGTCGCTTACAGGAGCATATTGACCCCAAAGCTGCCACACTGAATGAAGTCTTTGCCTCACTTGGATGATAGCTTCCCCATAGCTGCGTAAATGGAGCTCCTCCTTTGGTTAACCTTCCCCAGCCTATATATTCTAGAGACTCCTGAGGCCTGGAGGCTGTGTGCAGAACTGCATACAAATGCCTGGGAGGGGCAAGAGGGAGTAGGGGGAAGCTCAGGTGAGGGTTCAGTGCCCCTCTCCACCCCCTGTTTCTCTGAGCAAACAGTCAACATACCCACTGGTGATGGTCTTCTGCAAGCAGGTCCAGCTTGTCTGATGCAGGTGGTGGGTGTTTTGTTTAGAGGACCATGTTCTACAAAACACTTCTTCCCTTTCCAGAGTTACAGCTTCCTTCTCCATATTTTCAACTTCTTGTTGTCATCGATGTTATTTGTGTGAGCTCTCTAGCTACACTGTGGAACCACACTCCTGTTTTCTTCATTAAATTATGTACTAGCATTAATTTCTAGGTGATCACCATTGTCCGCCTCTGCCCCCCCCCCCCAGCTCTGTTTACCTTTCTTGGTAAAGAGACCCTATCTGTGTCTCTGCTGTCTCTTGTCCACCTTGGTCTGACTCACGGTGGCTCCTCCCAGCTTCTGCAGGCATCATATATTTTTTTTTAGCACCACCTTATGACTCTTGGACTGAGTTGTTCAGGAAGGAAAGGGAAGGGAGGTGGGGGAGGAAGAGTACAGAGATTTCCTTGATGGGTTTTTAATTCCTTCTGGTCCCAGGCCAGGGCCAGCTGAGTGCTTAAGGCAAGAAAACTGTCAGGGAAAGTTTTTGTCGGTGGTTAGCCACAAGAACGTGGCTTTTCCTGACAATTCTCAGTTGTCAAGTTCACTTGAAATTGTTTTGGCCTGGGAGCAGGCTTGACATGGATGGCAGCTGAGCATCCTATCCTGGAGAAAAGCCTTTGTACCACTTGACTTCAGGCCCAGCTTGGGAGCTACGGCACAAGCAAGTGACGGTGATACCCAGAAGTTGGCAGCCTCGCTGACGGAGGGACAGTCTGTGAGCGTCTTGGTTCCTTCTGTTTACATGGAAGGCAGAGACCATGGTTCCCTCACAACCTCCAGTTACAACCTACTCTGCCTAACACTCCCCCCCCCCCCCATTGCATTATTTCATTATAAAACCTTTTCTAAAGTCCATACGGTCGATGGACAATTTGGACTATTCGGTCCGCTATGACAAAACACCTCGGGCTGAGTAACTTATAAACAATAGAAATTTGTTTCTTACAACTTTATAGACTGGGATGTCCAAGATTAAAGTGCTAGCAAGGACCCATATCCTGGTTTATAGATGGAACCCCCTCTTGATGACCTCATATGGTGGGAAAGAGGAAGACAGCTAGGTCCCTGTGGCCTCTTTCATAAGGACATTAATCCTATACATGTTGACTCAGTCCATCACCTCCCCAAGGCTCCCTCCTAAAAGCAAACATTGGTACCTACATTTCAATGGAGGCATGGGGTTCCCAAATAGCAGACCATGGCAGGGGGTATTTTGGATTCTCCACTCAGTCTCTCAATGGAATCTGCCACCATATTGACCTCAACTTTCCTTCTGCTGCATGAACAGTTGTTCTACGTGAGGACACAACATGCTGCTATTTGTCTGGATCCCCTACCTGATGTGCTTGTCAGGCTTCCCTACTAAGATTGGGCTTTCCTACAAGAAGCCAGGGTCCCAGTATGTTTGCCCCTTGACCCACAGCAACCTGGTCCCAGTTTCTCTAGAACCTTCTTCTGTGTGGATGCTGATCTCCTTCTCCATGTCTTATCCACACAGCATTCATTTTAGTCACTTTAAGAAGACAGTAATTGTGAGGTATGATACCAACCTTTAATCTTGATACTCAGGAGGTAGTAGCAGGAGGATCTTTATGAGTTCGAGATCAGCCTGGTCTACAGAGTGAGTTCTGGGATAGTCAGAGCTATGCTATGTAGAAAGACCCCATCTCAAAAAACAAACAAACAAAAAAGTGCCAGGCAGTGGTGGTGTACGCCTTTAATCCCAGTATTCAGGAGGCAGAGGCAGGCAGATCTCTGTGAGTTCAAGGCCAGCCTGCCCTACAGCCAGGGCTGTTACACAAAGAAACCTCGTCTGAAAAAACAAAAAAAAAAAAAAAAAAAAAAAAAAGACAGTGGTTTATCTGAGTGTGTGTTCTACCCTGGTCTTGTTATTGTGTGATGCGCACAGACCCCGTTCCTTCATATTTATAGCCAGAATATGCAGGAAAGACACTTCTGCTTCCTAGAATTACAGCATGGATGAGGAACCAAAATGT